ATACATGATCTAAACTATGTAGATACTAATGTTTCTAAAAGTTTTAAGATTGTAGCACCTCTCCATGAAGAAATATAGGTGCAGGGAAACTTTTGTCGAGCACTGTATATAAGTGTGATTTCAAAGATAAGCCATGGTGAAGTAAGAAATTTGGTAAATACAAAAATACCAAAAACAATATGATGCAAAAAAATAGTTATTACACTAGGGTTCTGTTTTGGATTATTATATTAGAGTCTATTTAAATCTAAAATTAGGTTCTTTTAAACCAAAATTAAGAAAATTATAAGAAAGAGAAAAGAAAAAAAAAGATCTTAAGATCTTTATATACTATATATTGGTAGTTAAAATTTTGATCATAGGAACTAACCAATCACGGCTTAGTGCCATACTATATAGCATTTATATAAATTTGACAAAATTTAAATTAGAGCACAATTTTTGTATAAAAAAAATTATATATATATAATTTTTTGCTCTATTTTGATTCATATTGCATTATAGTAAAATTATTCAAAATGAAACTATGATTAGTTTCATCATGCTTATCCCCACATAATTGTGTACAAAATATACATGGGGAACATGGTCAATAAAATTAATTGAAAATATTCTAACCCAATATGATTCTTTAGTTTTTGATATGATAGATTGGATATCCTAATACAGAATTGAGTTTGTCTGTTGTCTGAAACTATTTAAATAAAAAAAATGCATAGAATTGTCTATTATTTGCTTGATAGCGACAAATCGACTTAATTTCAACATATACAATGCCTTTGGTCTCTTCAAGTAGTTCCACAAAGTCACCAACTCTAAGTTTTACCCAAACTAAATCTTGATCACTTTCAAGTACTGTGTATGTAATTGAATTAGCTTTTTGTTTATTAGTATAGTACTAGAATTTAAGTAATCAGTATATGTTTTACAAAGGTCTTGAAATAGTGGATGGTTAATATCCAAGTTCTTTGATATACCTATGCTTTTAACTTTTCCATTATTCCATTTACTATTAAATGAAATATCAACAAAGTTTTTATTGTAATATATTGTTGTGTTATCTATAAAAAACAACCAAATTTTGAAATTAGTACATATGTACGTATGTACGGTATAGAAAATTTTAAAACCTAAGTAGAGATGATGCATAGTTGTTGATTTAAATAAGCAAAAAGAATCTCTTTGAATAAGCAAAAAACAATATATGCAAATAGCATACTATTGAATATGACAAATTTACTTTATCTTTATTCTATATAATATAATTGAAGTTTTTAGATTTACTGCACCATATGTATATGCATAATATACCTAATATAATAATTTAAAGATTGGAACCATTCAACTGTATAAAAATTACCGAGCAAATTATTTTTGGCATTTGCCAAAATTATTTAATATTGGTTGTTAAATGATTAAAAAAAGTTTAGCTAGTTCCAATCCCTAAATATACTATTACAAATTATATAATATATTTAATACTTACAATCTATTTTATTTTGGACACCCTTATTACTCATAAAAACTGACAGATTTTCTGTAGCATACCAGCCTGATAAAATTGTATAAAGACTTGGATCCATTGCGAGCTTGTTTATTGCATTGGATCTTGTATTAATTGAGAATCTATCTAGCTATCAATAAGATACCATAATGTCTGTATTGTGTTGTACTGCCTAGTGAGATTGAGCTTAATTGCTTTATGATTTGTATGTAGTACTATATTTTAAACGTGCAATATATTACCTCCTTTATACCAACAACAGTATTTACTAATGTTACAAAATTCTGAGCATGCTATAGAAGATATACATTTACATGTAAATTTGGCAAATTGGTAAAGTTGTTTGGAAACAACTAAAAAGATAAAAAAAATTAAATATTAATATTTATAATATGATAATGAAATATAACTTATTATGCTTACAAACAAAAAAAACCACTTTTGTGTTAGTTTGAGCAAGATATGTACGTATGTACAGTATATACAGTGCAAAAAATCTAAAAATCACAATATTATTTTTTTAACTATTAGCATCAATAAAGTATACACATAATTACTTTATTGAAGTTAATAATTTAAGAAAAATTTTATTTCAATATACTACTTAATTATACACCGAGCAAACCATTTCTTCATATTATAATTTATAATTAAGTATAGCGTATTTAAAATCAAATACTTTTTAAATTATTGATGTACTATACTTGTCTCTATAAGGGAATTGTGGTTTTTAGATTTTTTATAAACAAGTTAATACCTGAAATTCAGATTTTATTAATACCTGAATTTAGATAATTTTTAAAATTGATTTTATACGTAATAAAAGTGTATATATATTGGTATCTTATTTTGTAGCATACAACTTACACATTCCATAATAAAATAAAATCAGTAGTACGTATTGTTTTAAAAAAAGGAAACAGGTATTTCTACACCTTGTAAATTAAATGCTATGAAATTATAAAGATATTGCAATGAGTAATTCAAATATTTTTGGCTTAAAAATTGAGTAATATAATATGAAACTTCATTTTTGCTGCAATAATAATATACTTTATGTATTATACTTGTGATTAAAAGGTGTGGAAATATAAAAATCGGGTGTGGAAATACCTGTTCCAAAAAAAAATTCAGAAGTAATATTGATTACTTGTAATATATATTATTACTAATACTAAACTTACTTTTAATAATATTTCACATTCATTTCTGAGTAATTCTTATAGTTCTCAGTAGCTATTTTCTGTCATAGAAAGTAAGAATGCAAGCTTTAATACTTTGGCTTTGACTGCCCAACAAGTATATAGCTTGAATATAGAAATTCTTGTCTTGATATGTTGAGGTTTTAAAAATCTTAAAAGTATAAATAGCATTATCATTGCAAGCTTCAACACATCAGAGAACATGAAGCTTTGACAGTGTCGTAAGGAATTGGATATCTGATACCAATTGGCAGGCTTTTCTATATTTTTCTAATGTTTTAGAAATGCACTTTTCCTATTTAAATTAAGTGTATTAAATGTTGTCTCTAAAAGAGTATATGCTTTTCTAGCCATAGAATGATACACATCTTGCAGTATTTGAATATGCTGGTCCTATTTAAGTATCCTCAATGGTCCTTTTTTTGCTAACTCATACTCAACTGCTAGATGTTCTCTCTTTGTCTTTGAATGCTGGCTTTTAATTTTTGCAAATCTTTCTTCTGTTTGATGTTGAAAGTGAGCATTTTGAATATAATTATACAGTAGTTTAAATCAGTGTACTGATTATTTTGTATATTACATGTGCAGCAGCCATGATTGGTGTCATGCCGCTTTACATAGCCAAGTTATTTCTCTGTAGCAGGTTAGCTGTGACACAACCAACCCTACCTATGACCCAAGCATTACCAATAAGAGTTTTAATAACAAGACCACTTTCTAACCATTTTATTTCTTTAAGTATTGGTGCAATAAAATCATTAAAATCAGCACCAATAGGAACAAAGCCAATTAAAAAATAATTTTTTAATTGCTTTTTAAAATTTAACTAATAAATAGTACATATTTCTATAAGTAACAAAGTCATTAAAATAAATATCAAGGAAAATTTTTAAAACAAGAAGTTGTTTTGATGGTGGTATAAGTGTAATATTTTTACTGAGTAGTCTATGCTTCATGTTTATACTACGATACTTCCATCTACTATTAAAATGATATACAATTTCTTTGATATAATATTTATACTCTAAAGGTTCTAGCATATTGTATAACCAAATATTGATGCATCATTCTATATTTATTAGTTCAACAAAAATTGATTCACCTTTAACCAACCACAATTCCTTATCATTTCCATAGATATAATAGTTATCAGTGAAATAAATATTAGAAATGTCTTCATATAAAAGAATTTGATCAACTTTCAATTTAAGTAAGTTGTTATCTATTTCGTCAACTATTACTCTATATATTTGGCACATGAATACTGTTGACTGTTGATAGCATATTAAACAATTACTAGCTCTATATAATTCTAAAAAAAAAAATACTATTAAACTTTGGTTTAAAATTTTTATTTTATTTTGTTTTTTAAATTTTTTTTTTTAATTGAATGATTTTAATACTCATTAGAAGTGAGATTTACCAGGTATTAGAGTTGTGACCCAAAACCTTTATATTTACTATAAAGTAAGCAAAACACTTCTAAAATGCAATCTAATTATTATGTGCTTTATGTCTTAAAGTCTAAAATTAAAAATTTTAACTTTTTTAGTATAGTAAAGAGTTATAGAAAAGGTTTCGGGTTTTGTTACCCAACTCTACTAGTTATGTTATTTCTCAAAACTAGCTTTGACAAATAGTATTTGAAATACTAAAGTAAAAATATCTAGCTTTTTAAAACCTTAAATCTAACTCTAAATCTATGTTTACTAAAACTTTGAATCTCTTAATATGCAGTAACTGTATAGTTATGATTAAATTTAATAGTAATTCTGTAATTATATAATTACTACATTATTACTACGCAGTTACTGCATATTAAATAAGACATTTAAGTTTTTGTAAAATAGTTTTGAATTTTTTTAATTTTTATAGAACAAACCTTTATTTTTTTTATTTCATATTCTCTAAATAATAAAGAATCCTGCTATAGTTTGCTATGCCAAAATTCCTGCTTTTCCTTTATAACAACTTCAGGGCCAAAATACATTTCTGGCATAAGCGCAGAATTGTTCTAAATGTATTAATGGTGAAATAGTAAATGTCTTTTTGTAGCTCTATAAGTGGATTGAGTTTTTTTTGTACAAAGAGATACATTATATTAATATATTTCAACTAAAAGTAGCTTATTTCTCTATTTCCGGACCTGCAAATATTCGTAGAAACATCTTCTTTTTGAAACTTAGAATGTGTAATTATTTTGACAAAGTTTTTGTACTTAAAAGTTGCTGTATATTATTACACATATATTTGTATTGAATTTTTTTAGTTTTTGAAAAGCATTCTTCAATACCTTAAAATTTTTTTTTATTATATTTACAAACTATATGTTTTGTTACCCAAGTGATAATTGTTGCCAATGTAAAGTTTGAAAAATAGAGACAGTATTTGCTATCAAATTCTTTAAAATCTAAAGACATATTTTCTAACACACTATTTATTGAAACTTCTATATCAGATTCATCACTATCTGAAGACATATTTTCTAATATGCTATTTATTGAACCTTCTATAGCAGATTTATCACTATCTACCGAAGCCTCCGTTAATAGTTCATTATTAGTAATTTTATATAATGAATCTGCATCAGATTTGTCACATTTGACTGGAACTTCTATAATATCAGCTAATAATATTTGCAAAAGATGATAGTTATTGATATCTTCACAATCAAGCATTTCTCTTAGCTTAAACAATTAAAGTTATATATTAATATTTATAAAAATTAATATAGAATTTATGTATAAGACCCAAAAATTGAAAAGAATTACAAACAAAGGCCCAAATTGGAACTAATTAGACTACAAGTTTAGATGTTTTTAATATTTGAAATTATATAAACATAATTTCTTTTAACAGTTAAATGTATTATTTCTCTTAACAGCTTGTATATAAAAACTATAACCATGTCTTAGTTTAAACTCGAATAAATATTGCATAGTTAAAGAAAGGTTTATTAAGTGAAAGTACATAGTATAAAATAATACATATGTATACTGAAAATTTTTCAAAATTTGGGTTCTTGTATATATTTATTTTCACTTTGGGCTCTTATTTGTAATTATTTTCATTTTTTGGGTTCTATAAATTCTCTAAAAATAATATATTTCTAAGAATATATACTAACCTCGTTTAACAAGATATAACTAGTGGTTAATATGCTTTTAGTTTCTTTACTTAAATGTTCTTCTGTATTACTATACTCTGAAGTTTTATCAGATACAGATGTTTCTTCGACTTCTTTATATTTAGGTTTTTTTGGTTTAATATACAATTTTGGCACTGGTATATATAAACGGGTAGTTTTGTTTGAGCATTTTATTGTTATTTCAGTAATATTATAAAAATAATTAGCTTTTATCTTCTACTTATTAGTTATTAAGTAGTAATTGGTAAGTTCTAATAGGATAATATTTAAATTGTTCAATCAATTCTATTTACTTATTTATTTTATCATATTGATATGCATTAATAATTTATTATACTTTTATATTATATTATTATTAGCTTTAATTGATACCATAGCGATAATGATAATTACACCAACAATATATATCTTTGGGTAATAAGTTTTGGATAATTACTACTAATTCATAATGATTAGGTATCAAAGTATCGAAAGTAATATGTCGTTCAAACAAATAACTAAAATTAGACCTTGCATATATTAAATAAATACAACTCAAATATAAAATCGTTTAAACATATTTGAAATAAATTATAAAGTTATGATAATTATGCAATATAGTAATATTATATATATATATACAATGTAAAGTTTATTTTGACAGATGCAGAAAGTGATTTATTATGTAATAAATTATTGCATAACAATTTTACTATAAAAGGTTCTTTGCTTGCCTAATAAAATATATAAAAATTTAATTATTAAAAAAAATATATTATATATATATAATATAATAAATATGTCTAAACGAAAATTCAGTGGTTAATAAAGTTTTATTAGAAGAAATTTTATATATTTTTTAATGAATTCTTATAATAGAATTAAAAGTGTTGACAACTGAAAAGCAACCAGAGATGCTTATATAAGAAAGAATTTAATTTATCTATAGCATTATGTTATCTAATTAATTAAGATATAAATTCAAACAGAACACAGAAGTGCAAGAAGAATGAACAAGATACAGCTTCTTCCACTCCAACCAAAATTTGGAAATATAACAAAAAGCAACAAAATAATGTTGCAAGTGACCAAAGATACAAAGGTTACAACAATGCTACTACAACTCCAACAAATCGATCTTGAAAATAATAATATATCTTCACAAGTTTTCTTGTTAAAAAATGAAAGTAATAATGATATCGTTTCTCCTCAAGTCTCTTCACCAGATTATGGAAATAATGAAACTCATTCAGTTTCCTCTACTCACAAAAATAATGAAGCTACTTTGTCTTATTTAGTTTCTTTTATCTATGAAGATAATGTTTTATGGGAAAATAATATTTCTTTACCAGATCAAAGAAGTGGTAATATTATTACTTTTAGTAATCAACTTCAAACTCCCTATTAAGAATGTATTTATTTTTAAATATTTATCAATTGATATTTATTATTTGTAATAAATACATTCTTGATAGAGGTGTTCGAAATTAATCACCAAAATTTATTGTATTTTGGATCTTGTCATTTTTTATATATTAAATTGGATTTAATAGTTTTGATATTAATGAATAATAGATAATTTATTACAAAAATAACCAGCGCAATTTCAACAAGTAGATAATAAATTTGAAATCGCACTATGGATAATATGTCGTAAAAGAATATTAGATTTAGCAACTAATATTAGAAATGGAATGACAACAAGAATAGATGACAATAAAAAACATGTTACAACCTTAATGTCTTCTATATCATATGAATCTTCACTAAAACTTCCAGAAATTAACCAAGTAAGATACTGTTTACCTTATAAAAGTTGCATAATAATTACTAATATTCATTTATTCGTTTAAATCTAGCATATTAAATTTTAGTTACAAGAGGAATGCAAGACACTCTTTCTCCAAACTAAGAATAACAGTACAATATTATACAAAGAAATTATTGTGAAAATTACAAAAGCTGATCCAAGGTTAGAAACCTTAGCAAGAGATATTGGCAGATGGTTTAATATATATTGTTACAATTTTCATGTAGCTGTAGTAAAGTTAATAAACGAATTTAGAGTATTAAATGAAAGATTTGTAGTCAGTAATAGTAAAATTTATTAATTTTGTTCGTAGTGACAAGATAATAATAAAAATTTTCTTTAAACAAATAGTGCAAAAAAACCTTATAATGAATTGGATGAATTTGTTACCAACAACATTTGGAAACAATTGCTACAAATGTATCTAAAGGTGACTAATCAAACGAAATTAAAAAAAATTCTAAAATATTTACAAAACTTAGAAGTTTTGTATACCAAGTAATTAAAGCTGTTCTTATTGTACAAGATAAATATAAAAATACACAAACTGCTATTAGAAAGTGTGACAAATACACTATCGATCTTGAAATTTCAACCAAATTTGAGATAGTAAAGCTATTACCAGTTAGGGAACTTCTTGACTATTAATTATTTAATGCATTGCCAACATGTAGTTATGCAAAAATATTAATTGCTGAATGTTGTACTTTATTAAAAAAAATAAATTGTAAAAGAGAACATTAACTACTTATATAATCTAAAGATGCTATTAATAAATTTAATTAAATATAATTAAATATTTGGGTCAAAGTGATTCAACACATGATTACATGCCAAGAACAGATATTTTTATTATTTTTTTGCAAATATTTTGATAAATTTTGATTGTTGCCAATTTTTTTGCCAAATTTTAATTATTTTTGAAAATATTTCATTTTTTTGTCACATTATGTATCGAAATAGAGATTGAAGTATAACTTTGTGATATCTCATTTTTATATACTGTAATTTTGTAAAAAAAAGTCAATCTGATTCCGGAGGTATTCAAAAAGTCCACAGTGTTTAAAGATAGTGCAAAACCACATGAATAGTTTGTGATTGGTTAGTTAGCAGTTAGGGTAAATAAGCTTTTACTGTATATAAAATCACGTGATTCACATTGTCTGTAAACCAAATTCTAGTTTGAAGTAATTCAACTTGAATCAAATTGAATCAGAAATCGTTAAGAAAATAAAAATTCAATATTTAAACCATTTTTAAATCGAAATTTGGTTCAATATGAGTTACCAAATTGATTTCTGGCTTTAAAGAAATTAGCATAATAGCAACTTCTTAAAGCCAGAAATCAATTTGATTATCTTTAATAGTTAAGTCCTACAACCCTAGTAAAATTTTATATATACTTCTTTTTTGTTTTTTTTTCTTCACAGTTTTATTATTTTTAAAAAGTGCTTTAAACCATATAAATAATGCCAATCATATAGTTTAGTAGATTAAACTGTGAAAAGCTTATCTGGTTTTTCTCTCCTTACTATGTTGACAATGATAATAACGATTACGCCCTCTATAAATGTTTTTATAATCATAAAAAAAAATAATTTTTAGAGAGGTAATAGTTGGATTCTAAGCCTATCTTTAAAGGTTATAACTGCACCTAAAAAAACTATTTACTATAAAAAATGAATATAGTGAATAATATATTTTTGCAGAACAAATAATCACTTTTACCAAAAAACTGAGCAACCAAAGGTAATTATAAGCATGTTCAATCTTATAACAAACATAATCAGAGGCTCTATCTCTCAATATTAGAAACGAAATTTTTTGCTTGACTAAATTTACTTGTTCAAGTAGCTCTAGTGATTGTTTTATCAACACAAAAGCAATTTAGTCCAAAATCATTAAAAAGAATTACTCTACAAAAAATGATTTTATATCAATTTTATATATGTTGTATAGCTATAAATCTTGCTATATTTAGTAAACAATTCAATATCATTATTATTGTTACAATTTATACTAATAATTATTTAATAAAAAAATAGGGGGTTTCTATATACTGTACATGCAAGTATAAATTATTTAATAAAAAATAGAGGGTTTCTATACACTATACATGCAGATATAAATTTAGATTAAGAGTGCTCTCAAGCATCTTCCTGAGTGTAATTAGATAGTGATTGAGATGATGCATAATCATTACAATTAATGAATATAAAGATTGCGATTAATGATTGAATAAGCTCTTTTAATGTTATGATTATCATGTCTTTATCAAACAAAAAAAAAAGCAACTGTTCAACAAACAAAAAAAAATATTACTATTACCAACAACTTCAAATGTATCTGTTTTAACTACTTCAAGTGTTTTCCTACTTCTTTAGCAATTCCAAATAGTTCTATTGTCTCTTTGCCTAATTACAATACTCCTGTTGTTCCTTTTATAGATTTAACAAATTATCATATGCTGCTACAACAACATTATTCTTCTGCGCCACTATTTAATTATTTAGTTTTAAGTAGAACTAATAGCGAATATGAAGAAGTATATATTTAAATTTGTAATTTTTTTATAAAGAATTAATAAAAAATATTTTTAGATATCTCTTTTAAAGTCATCTGTTAATAACAATAATCAAACTTCTACTACTAATAGTAGTCAAGAAAATTTACAAGCTGTAGATAAATTATCAAGTTTATTCAGTGCTAATATTATTTTAGGAAATAAATCAAATAATCAATAAACATCATCTGAAGATAACAATTGTTAGTCAAGAAAGTTTCTAATATGAAGAATAAAAAGTAATTTGTTGTTGACAGCAAAGATCTATATTGTTAGAAGTATATTTAGTACAAAGTATAATAATTCAATTGTAAAAAAAAAAATTTGATCATAAAAAAAATATAATTGTTCGATCATAAAAAAAAAATTATAGGTTGATTGTAAAAAAATAATGATTTGATTATAAAGTGCTTGAATAATCTCACTTTATAATAAATTTTGGCCAATCAGTACAGCTCTATAAAAAAAAAAAGATAGTTACTATTTATTTTTTTTTTTTTAACTGTAGTAATAAATTCTTTTGACCGGCTGAGCTAATTTTTATTAATTAAAATTTATACACTAATTTATTGATTAAGGCATTTGAGAACACCCTAATTCTTTTTTTATAACTAAATATGTTCTAGCCTTTTTTATTCACTTCCCATTATATCGCTACTCTAAATTCTCATACAATTCATTTATTTCCATCTATCTATAAATTACCCACAATAATCTAAACTCTTATTTAATTTCTAATACTCTAACCAAAATCGTCAAACAAATTAAAATATAATTAATAATCATAACTATATATATCTCAAATTCAAAATACACTAAATCAAATTAATATTTATTTGATTTATACTTAAAGTATCTCTCTCAATTTGATTTGCTAATTGTAGAGATCGTGCACAACTATTAATTGAAGTCTTATAGTAATTTTGTCTAAGTAATGTTTTTAAGGTTATTTTGACAGGCGTAGTATCGATTTTACTATCACGTGATTTTCAAAAATTAGATGTTGAACAAAAAATTTCGTTTATATTTGGGTTGGGTATAAGTTAGAGTTAAAAAGAGCAGTATTATAGTAAGAATACACAAGAAAATTTTTTTGTTAAGGCTCTAAAAGTAGTTTACTAAACTAAAGTTTGATATAAATGCAATTTTTGCAAAATGAATGATTGTTTTAAACTTCTTTATATTACACTAGATCCAGATTTTTAATTGGTTAAATATATCAGAAAATTATATGATAGTAAAATTGATCCTATGCCCTGGTGTTGTTGTTGGCCATTTACCAGCTCTAATCTTTCCTTTTGCAAGTATCGTTTTCTCCAAATTGTCTACTTGTGCTCATTTTGCACTTATTCTACAATCTACACTACTCTTAATCAAGAACCTATCTGTATAATATACACTACTATCTATATTTCTACTATAATTTTCCTTCACTTGCTATATTAATAGCACTTTGAGCTTTTGATCGAAACCCTGCTCTATAACCAAACTTTTTTCATAAGAGTCCATCACTATTACACTACATATTTCTCTTTTGCTTTTTCTTTTAGTTAAACCACTACCATCTAACTTGAAACCCTTAATCTCTCTTAGCAGTACTGGCATCTTCTTCTTATTATCTGTAGTTATCTTGAGAATTATCCCTAATACCTTACTCTTTTTTACCCACTGTTGGCATATATTGATCTTAGCTACCTGACTCAAATTACAATTTTTAAACTCTCTTAGCATATCTCTATTATTGATTGAAAACTTGAGTATTTAGTAATCAATTAAAACCTGTGACTTTCTTTTTTTCTTATTTAACCAACTATTGACTCTAAATTCTTTTTGTTAACAATTATCTACTTATGAAGTTTCCAATTATCAAACAACTTCTTTGTCTTTGTTTATATACATATTAAATTCTCTTCTAGTAACTTAAAATAGTTAACTATCTCTTTACTTTCTATATACCTAATAATCTTCTTCTCTATTATGCTAAACCATTTCACTTTACGGCCTTTCAGTGACTTTATTTTTAATACGTAAAGCTTATTCCATATTATCATCTTTGTATCTGTTATATCAATTAACTGGTTTATATATGTAGAATAAGTTAAAGCTTCTAATACTGCTACAGTAGGTACTATAAATTTCTTTGTCTATTACTTTAGCTAATGTTGAATCTGAACTACAAACTTTCCACTTTTCAGTATTAGCATGAATTGACACTTCTAACTTATTTGCTTTAACTAAAATTAACTCTGCCAGATTTTTTTTCTAAACCTTTTTGAGGTACCGATTTTGTGATTTTGACCAACTTTCTTTAACTAACCCAGCTAATGTGTAACCTTTATTTAGTCTTATTCGTTTATCTTTCTTACTTGATCTAATCTATTAAGTCTATTTTGCAAACATATTAATTTTTTGCTAAATAGCTCCTAACCCAAGAATCTACAACAACCTAACTCTTGGTATATTACTATGTAATTGCTTGCTATCACTAGCAACTCTATTTTGTTCTTAATTATTCTTACTACTAGCTAATATATTCTATCTATGCTTGCTTTAGTTATTTTCATTGCCTATAACATATAAGCTAATTTCAGCACTATACACATATTATTCACATAAATTAGTTAGCTAATAGACAGGCTCTTACACCTTAATATTCTTACAAAGTGATCTACAATACTCTTTGCCTTTTTAACTACTAAGGTTTTATGAAAATCTGCACTTATTTAAACTCCCAATAGCCATGTTAAAGCCTTTTTCCCTTTAGCCTATAACTTGTAACTATCAACTTTGATCTACTTTTCACTCTTTTTTATATCTGTATTTATTATTATGAGTTTGGACTTTGCACTATTTATTTATATATCGTTGAATCTAAAAAACCTCTATACTATTTCTATTATTTGCTCAACTTGGGCTTTACTTTTAGCAATCCAAGTTGTATTATCAGCAAATGCTACTGCTGCTTGTCTTGTTGGTTTGACCTTTGTACTATTCATTTGCAAATCTATTATATAACTTGAACAAACTTTATATCTAGGTTTCTTATTGTTTTAAACCTTCCTTAACAATAGATTATAAAATATTT